TTATTTTTTTTGTAACGCATCGAAATATTTTTCTTGGACCCATAAAATTATGTATATTCTGGGTCCTTATTTGATTCAAAGACGATCTAGCCATCCATCCGCCTGCCTGCTGTCCGAACGGAAGGAGCTAGAGGTTTGAACATTTCTGCTATTTATAATTTTTAGTTGTTATTTAAATAATGGTCCATGTTTTCACCTAGCCCCCATATAACTGCCACACTTCAGGAAATTACTTTTATGTCCTAAAAATACACACAAACTTAACTTTAGAGCAAATACCAGTAGGAATCCGTTGCTACACAGATGGCTATAAATTGGGAGACAAAGTGGGCCTGGGGTTTTATATTGAAGAACAGAAACAGAAATATAACACCGTTTACCTAATTACAATACTAGCATCATGGCAGAAGTCCGAGCAATAACGGAATGCGTAAATTGGATTAGAATAAATATGGTGCCCACACGGCTTCTTATATTTACCAACAGCCAGAAGACAATTATGGCGATATAAGACGATAAAGTTAAATCTAAGACTGAATTAGATTGTAATAAAGCTCTAACCGAATACTCTCCCAGAGGTTCACATCATATGATTACCATGCCACTTGGGAGAAGTCGGCATTGAAAGAGCGAATGTAATAGATTTAAAGGGAAGGGAGCTCGAGGTAGTTAACCTGACGCACAAAAAACTAGAAACTATTGCAGAATTAAAATTATGGGTGAGAGAAACCCATAAGGTCTCCTGAAAGCAGATAAGAAACCTACTCAAAATGAAAAAGTCTGGGGTTAGTATGATGTTACGTATTCTAAGTGGACACATAGGATTACGGGCACACCTATACAAAATTGGACGTGCGGATTCAGACGAATGTAGAACATGTAGAGAGGACAGTGAAACAGGAAGTGTTCCAGTCCTTATTGTCACGAATTCACTGAAATTAGATCCAATTATCTTGGGAGTGATATTATTTCGGATATAAAATCCCTCACGAACACTAATTGGAAAATTTTTAGGAAGTACAGGAAATTGAGTTTCTAAACATCGGATGATAATACATTTAGTGAATACTATTTAAGGTTTCTGTTTTTACCAACAAACATTTTCCATGAAAAGGAGCCCACAACAGGCCCGAAAGTGGCCAAGGTGTATTTCTTCGGATTTGATGTTGTTAAATACTCCTATCAACCTAACCTAATTCCGGAAGAGCTCGGTAAATAATAGACATAAGTCAAATTGTGCCAGAAGCCAATGAAAGAGGTCCGAAGTGAGATACGTGGTTTAAAAAACCAGAGGTAAAGGTTCAGATGGATCAACATCTGAAAAGCCTAACCCTCCGAACAGGGTGGCCAGCTAAAAACGTAGCCAAAAGTATTACAAAACATGGTCGGTATATATTCGGACATCGGTGTATGGTATTATATAGTTGGACTTGACCGACAATACATTCTTTCTTCTTATTCTTTATTTTCTAGGACTCTTTATCCCGTTCCAATAGTTTTTTTGTAGATTTACCTATAATGTATGTATAGTATAAGATATTATGTGGTCATAGGTAAGACGAAAATGAAACTAATATTTCTTTATTCCGCTACATTTTATTACATCCTGCACTATCATCGAAATAGAACATCGTCATAACATAATAATATTACTTTAACTACAGCGATATTTCACTTCACCGCTTTCAATGAGTTTTAAAGCAACAAAAAACCTAAACAAAGAATCTACTATCTGTTCATATAGTTAAGTATAAACTCTACTCTATAATAAGCAACTTCAACATAATAAATATTTATACTCACTCCTCTTGCAACTGATTACATATTTTGGGAAAGTAGTCTCTTAATTTAAGCAATATATATACTAGGGGTTGAAGTAAATATTTTGCTAAAGTTTTTATCTTGAAAACTTTTACCAATAACTTTATTTATTTCTTGTGGACTTTTTGCAGTAAACGGATATGTCTAGTTGACCAATACTTGTACATATGTTGCATTTGACTTTGGTCAATGGAGTTTTTTAAACTGAAAAAGTTAGTACATAATTGTTTTTCTTATCGATACTTTGTACTAAGTAGTATTTGAACTTAGAAGGTTTTCAAAAGGGTTTTTCTATTCAATTGCTATTCGACACTTTAAAATATAAATATTATAATATGTACTTTAACTAAATAATTCTCAATATTAAAGCCATTGTTTTTTTATCACATTAAAAGTAAAATATTTACTTTGCATATCTCTAACACAATTTTAAAAATTTATGGTTGTAGTATTTTTTTCTCGTTTTCGTTGTAAACCACAAAAGCATGGCTGGCATTTCTTATATCCGCCAAGGATGTCTTCGCTTAAAATGACAGGAAACTTGAATAACAGGCACACACACACATACAAACACTTTATGTGTTTGTGTAAGCGTGTTCCGCTTATACCTTTTTCTACTTCTTGGCTCTTGACTGGAACTCATGTAACTTGCAGTCAGCAGTTGAGTGGCAATATATTCGATTTAGTTTATTTAAATTTTTTCTAAGGGTGTGGAAAAATTGTTGTCTTTGTAATGAAATGCTTTAAAGGTGGGTTTAATATTATAAACTAGTATAGATTTTGTTTGTATTATGCATTAGTAAAATATTTGAGTTTTTTATATTATGCAATTTTATATGAAAATAAAAATATTTTTACAATACATAAATATTTACTGAAATAAAGTTGAACCGAATTCTGTAGAATTTGAAAGATTGAATAATGTTTTGGAAGGAATAATTTTAGTTGAATTTTGGATAATACCATAATTTTTAAATAATTTATTTTTTGTTAGAGATGTTATATGGGGAATGTCGAAGTGCTTTACGTGAACACCTGCCCTGAGGGCGTTATTTGACGGTGGTCTTCCACCGTCTTCATGAACCGATACAATACATACAATCTTTCACCAATGTTTGCATCAGTTCCATTCCCATGATCATAAAGATCTTTCTACGGAATGACAGGCAACTACTGAACGCTAACCTGACAATTCCCCAGAATATACCGGCTCCCTACTACACCGGTAAGAAATACCGATTGGGTTCAGGAATCCAGCATATGCTGCTTTGTACAGAAACCTGTTTAATTTTAAATAGAATTAGCCAACGCATTATATATAGGGTATATCAGCCCTTAAACCAACATTCTCTTCCCGCGAATTTGGGCTCAAACCACAGCCACTACGTGGATCTCGAATGAACCTCAACCAACTGACCAGGCAGGACATGTCCTGGGGGCAACTGGCCACCTGCAGTACCAGTTTATATGGTTCTCTGGTTAGACCCCATGTCAAATCATACCAAGGAATAGCCGAGGAGTGAAGTGACATCACCAGTTTATAGTCCCGGCAGACAGAGGTATTGGTAGCACCTCTTAACCCCGGGATTGCAATACACCAAGATGGGATCTATCATCAAGGAAACATGCACCGGGGGGATGTTATATGGGAAGTAGGGCCAGCTCTGTACTTGATCTAAATGAAATTTCTTAGATGGATTTTTGATCTTATAAAACATGTTCTATGTGGATTTTCATGCCTATATGAATACATTTTTATCAATAACGTTAAATTCATTTCCTAAAGGGGACTTACATACATATGTATATGGGGCCTAGGTTCAAACTTAGTCCAATTTTCGCCATACTATACAGTATGACTTTCGAATACATTAAAAAGTAACTTGTGCACATTTTTTTATCAGATGTAACATACATTCTCGTTTTAAAGTAATTAACTACATTAAGGCAAAATTGGCTATCACAGATGAAATTCGGACGGACATAGCTAGACTCAGCCCACAACAGCAGACTCGATAGTGGCCTAGGTGTATTTCTTCTGTTCAGATGTAACACGCATTCTCCTTTTAAAGTAACTAACTATATAAATGCAAAAAATGATAGGCTAAGTTTTAGGAGGATCACACAAATAAATGTGAGTTCACAAGACCATATCGCTGACCTGTAGTGAGCCAAAGCTTTCTATTTCGTACTGATTCGTCACAACATAGAATGATCCGAATTTGATCAATGCTAGATCGTCTTACAATGTTATAAGGTTTAAAAGTGACTCAACTCAAACATTTTTTTCAGAAAAGGTAATAAATTCTCTAAAAATTCTGAAACATAAAGAAAGACATAACGGGTTTTTTCAACAGTTAACAACAAAACACACTTATATTTTTTTAGAGATAAACAAGAATCTTGTGCGAAATTTAAGGGTTAAACTTATGGCTTTAAGTATATATACCCGAAAAAATAAAATTTTGAGTTATGTCACTGTACTTTGGTGGGTATATGATCAATATTTCGATGTTTTATCATAAAATCAATATAACCCCATCTCTTTGATGGTGAGTATAAGTCAGATCAAGAGTTGCAGTGTTTTAAAAGTATAAGTTTCATTGATTTATTATTGAAATTCTAAAATTTGTAAAATAAAAATTTTAAAATACTCACTTGAAAATATATTATCAACATTTTAATATCTTTAGATTCACTTTATTTTGGCACATTAATGTCTGGTATTCACACCTTGTTGAAATTCAAATATGTACTTAAAGAAAAGAATTTTATGGGTTGCTTGTTAACAAATACTATTACAGAAACACACTCAAGTACACATAAATAAATTTTATATAAAGGAGTCATTTGTAATAAAGTCTGGTAAAATTTATAGATTCTCAACAGTTCATGTTTAACAACTTATTTCTTCTTTTCTTTATGTTTTTCTTGTAAAAATCACTTGGCTTTAAACTGAGATAAATGGCGAAACGAGAGAATAAATAAGTTGTTAATGGTTGTTTGGTTAGTTGGTTGGTATCTTTAACAGTTTTTTTATTGGCGGTTTAAAACATAAAAATCTATAAGATTTATGGTGTTCGATTTAAAACGCTACATTTCTATTTATAAATAAATAATTTTGAATTTCTTAAATTATCTAAAAGATTTAATAAAGTTATTTCTGTTTCTCTTTACAGGTGATAATGCAATAAGTAAGTAAAATTCTTATACCATATTTAAACATTTTAAAAGAAATTGGCTTTAAAAACGACTTTAATAGAAATATTGCATTCAATTTGTAATTTAAAAAGTATTTTATAACTTTTTTGTTTCCTTACGTTAGTTCCATAGAAATATGAAGTTTTTGTTTTAATTTATTAAAAACCACTAAACTTTTTTACCCTTAAGAATAATTTGAAATATAAACTCGCTTGTTTTTGCAGTTTTTGTGGGTTTGGCATTTGTATAATTTTAAGAAACAAATCTCATTTATTTTTCTTTTAGCTACATAAAATTGGTTTTGGTAAAAAAAACTTAATTTTTTTATTGTTTATTTCATTGGCGGGAAATTGCAATTTGGGTTTTTTTTCGTCTGAGTTTTGTGGTCATGCTCCAAAGAGTTTTTGTTGCTGGAATTTTTTTGTGGGTTGTCTAAAAATAATAAGAAGCAGCCGAAAAAATAAATTTATGTTTAAAATAGAAATAATAAGATGAGAAAAATATTGTTATATTTTTGGAAAAAAAAACTTAAAACTCAAAATTGTGGTGTGAGAATTTTGTTTAAATTTCAATGCCATATTTTAAATAAGTTTCTTTATTTTGTTTCATCCATCTTATGATTGTAGGTACATATTTGTTTATTTTTACAGTTGTTTGTTATTTCCTAGGGTTTCAAAGGGTTAAAAATTTCCCGAGAATATTTTTACGGAAATCTCGGGAAATTTTTTTGATAAAATTCGGGAATTTCAAAATCATTTTTCTTAAATGTGCTGGTAATATTAGAAATGTTTTTGGTTAAACTAAAAATTTGACTGGTGATAGTTTTACTTAACAGAAATTACTATTTTAAGAGTATTATTGAATCAAAGGAAATCAACCAAATTCTTCAAAAATATTAATTTTTTTCCTAAGCAGTTTGGTATTGAGAATCAGCAAAATCGGTTTACATTGTAAAAAGTTAGGAGTATGTACCATACAAAGGTACAATTTCGTCAAAATTATCAGTATCACGACGAAATTTTGTAGATATTTATATAATATGAACAGAAATCGAATTACCAACGTAGACCTGTATCAGTCCATAATTGGTCATAGCTCGCATATAAGGTCCACTTCCGAAAATCACTTAAATATTGGAATAATATTCGACATAACTATGTTTTGTGTATACATATACCACTCTGCAAAATATTTTTCGGATCGGTCCTTTATTGGGCATAGCTCCCATATAAGCCCCATTTCCGATAACCACATAAACGCACATATTTCATTACTGAATGAAGATATCGGTATAAAATTCTTTCGGTTGTTATTTTTCAAATTCAAAAAAAAAAAAAAAGAAACGGTTAACCGGTTTTTTATTATAAATAAAAATTATATTTTAATTTGTAAAAATCAATGTTTATGTGGCCCGGACTAATTCTTAACAGTTTAAAAGATTATAACTTTAGATCTAGTCGTCTGATTTACATTATTTCTTTAATGTAAACAAATTTGGAAAAAAGTGGGACACTTCTGTTAAACATAAGGTACTATGTAATCCTAGCTTATTCTAAAGTCCCTGTTTAGGCAATTTTCATAGGCATTCCAACACTTCCATAATATTTTTATCCGCAAATTAAGTAAATATTGTAATTGGAATATAATCTTAAGATTGATAAAATTTATCAAAAAGATATTCCAATCAATTTCACAAATAAAATTTTTTAATTAATTAGGAAAATCAAAAAAGTGTAACCAAAGGTGCTTTAGAAAAATAAACTCTAGTTCCTCGACTAGAATATTTTTAAAATTTAGACGGGCAGTATTATTATTTACTTAAAAATTTCATTTAAATAATCTTTGAATACAAAGCAAAAAAAAGTATTCGAAACCGGTTTTTAAAGTGAAAAAACTGGATTATTCGATATTCGAAAAATCAACATTTAGAAAAAACCGACACTGGTAAAGCAGAAAAAATCGGTTGAAAAACCGAAAACCCTACTTTCTATTCATCTATAATAAAATTTAGGACAATTAAAACAAGTAAGAAATTATAGACGGGCGAGGCCGACCATATAATACCCTACACCTCTTACAAAAATGAAATGTGATTTAGTTTTCATAATAAAGCATTTAAGTTGAATTGTACCTTGCCTGGAATTATACTTAAGCCTGCGACCTGTAGTTTGATTACAAGGTTTACATGGACGGACAGACGGACGGACATAGCTAAATCGACTCAGAAAATGATTCTAAGCCGATTGGTATACTTTATAGGACCAATTTTATTGTGCGTTACAAACATCAGCACACACCCAATATACCCTCCCCACTAAAGTGGTGTAGGGTATAAAAAAACTTTACTTCGATTTTTTCTAAAAAAATATTCCAAACAATTGAGTTGTATTTTAAAGTTGCAATTTGCTACAACTGCTTTTATTGTAACATTTTGTCAAAAAAGTTGTAATAAATTTCAACTTTAAACTTATCGATAATATCAAATTAATGAATTTAAACTAAAGAAGAGTTGAGTTGTAAACCATAATAGGGGCATTATATGCACGTAAATAATTAATTAATTTCTACATAATATGTATGTAGAAAGCACATTCAGGTTGACGAATATCATATCATAAATATTAGTTCTGAAGTAAATACGGATTGTCCACATTTCTCTAAGCAGAAATGACAAATAATTAGTTGTTATTGCATTAATTTTTTAACTTTTAATAAAAGGTCATTTGACTCAGCTTTTAGTAGTTAAATAAATATTTTTTTCTTACAATTTAAAACCATTTTGTATTAATAAAAACCACCTTAAAACTTATTTCCTTTTGAATTTATCTTGGTTTTGGGCCAAAAATAACAATAAATTTAAATTCTAAATAAAACTAAGCAACATACACTCTCTTCATATTTACAATTATATGTTTGCGGTTGAGTATGGTTAGAATTTGTTTCTCCATTTGGATTCAATTTTTAATGCAAATAAATGCTTTGGGGGCTTAAAACGAAACACAGAATAAGAGGCAGAGTGAGATCGAATTGTATGACGGTATCAAATGTTCGTCTAAAGTTTTTTTTTTCAAGCGATTAAGATAAAAAACAAAATTTTTACCTGAATTAAATTAAGTAACAAAACACGAAACTTTTATTTAGATTGAACAAACACTTTGTGTGCTTTTTGGTGTTTTTAATTTTGTTGCTTTTAGAGGTTTGTTAGAATGGCTCCCATGTTTTATTGTGTCTTGTTTTTGGTTTTGTTGGAATATTTCGTGAATATTTTATTTATTTATGTAGATATTTTAAGTTGTTGTTTTTCTTTATTTTGATTGTGCTACCTTTTTAAATGCCACAAAAAAAAAACAAAATGACGTGTTTCACAAAATTAAAGAAGAATAAAAAAGTACATATAAAAAATGTAAACAAACTCTATACAAACTACGGAAACACGCTACTGTTTTTTTATAATTCTCATGTTTTCTTGTATTTTAATATTTTTTATTTATTTTATTTGTTGTTGTCGTTGGCTGCTACCACAAATTTTGTACACAAATATGTACCCAAATACACGTGAACACCACAATATTGATGTGTGTACATTTTTAATGGTGGTTGGTTGGCTGTTTAGCCAACTTTGATGGCCAACTCAAACCTGATTCTTGTCTTTGTAAAATATGGTCATTGTTGTGTGATTGAAAAGTGCCATGATTAAAAAAGGAAATAATTATTTCTATTGAATGATCGAATTATGATGAACAACATGAAGATGTATAGTATGTGTATTTATCTCATCTTCATAAGTTTTTTTTTTCGTAATTCAGGTATAGAAGTATCTTTTTTTGTTCATGGTGCAACTCATTTTTAAAACTTGTCTTTCTTTTGTGTTTGCGCTCGAAGTACATACGTAGGTTAATTCATAATTGTTTTAAGAAAAATTCTTTACGATTTATAACACTGCTATTAACGAGACAATTATATATATCGCGTAATTTTATCACTAATGATTAACGATAATCTCTAAGAACCTAACTTAGGTGAGTCTATATTGTGATTGTTCCGAGATCTCTTTTAGCAATTCCCAAAATCTACACAATCTCGTTATAGAATTACACAATACGTACACAATATCCGAAAAGCAATTATAAGATCGTTCTTACGAAACATTACTCGAATTATCCTTTTGATGGAACGACAAAACGCTTCGCCTACATGAGCCCGGATATATGTATGTAGCTCCCCATTGTCGAGCAACTTTGTTTCAAACCAGAAACCAGGATATGGGATATTAAAGAACCAACTATATTTCGACTGCTACTAGATCTCTTACGATAAAAACTCTTCGAATTTTCCTTTTGATGGAATAACAAAAGTCTTCGACTGTGTCAGCATAGTTTCCCAGTGACGAAAAACTCTGTCTCATTCTATAAACCAGACATTGTGAGGGATATTAAAGAAAGGTTTTTTTGGTCCAATAATGATAGTTTGACCTAGTGGATGAAAGGATATATCGCAGTAGAAATATCTCTCTAATACGAGGTTTTTATCACTGAGTTTTTGGCCAACTGGCCCACATACAAAGCCCCCGGTAAAAACCAGAATTGACAGTCGGTAATTTGATTTTCTAATGTCTCATTGGTTTCCAAAATGTTCAAACGTTTGAAAGAGAGAGATATATATTTAATATCTTTATTGAACTTGATGATCATGTTGTCTAGGATTGGCTAAGCTACTCTTAGAAATATGGGTCTTATGGCTCAAAGATATGTGTCGGAAACGCTCAACGTTGAGATCAACAGTTTGTAGCACCCATACGAACTAATGTCCACAGAAACGGCGACAGTTTCACAGTTTCTTATGAGTATATCAAAATAGATAAAAACTAAAGTAACTTGTAAATTTTACCACCTATATGTGTTATGAGAACCATAGTTTGCATGTTTTTAAAAATGTTATGTACTCGTATATCTTTATATTTGTTTAATAACAATATATGCATGTCTACTTTAAA